AACAGTCTTGCAACTCACAGGACAGGTTAACACCAGCCCCTTGGACAGGCAGGGTAGAGGGACCTGCAGCTGGGTGATATCATGGGGGCCAGCTGCCCTCGAGCAGCGTGCTGCTGGGCTAGAGGCTTGTGGTCACCGCTCTGGATCCCACACCAGGGCCCAGGGGAGGTAGTCCCCCTTGGCTAAAACTGCAAGGTCTCTTGTTCATCTGGTATGGGGCTGACTACTCGGCAGCAGCCACGATGAGTGGATGTGTTTCTAAACCATTGCCCAGGCACTGGCTAGCCTTCTGATGGTGCTAGTACGTCAGGAGGGATGGTGCACAGTGTCTGTATATACACACAAATGGGTAAAATGTGGCCCCTGATTGTCCTCGTGAAGGTCTCTGCTTGTATCTTGCAGGGAAGCAGGTCCCTCCAATTGTGCTATCTCAGCCTGGTACAGTGATGCCTTCGGTGCCCAGATTTGAGTCCTTGCGTGTGATACAAAGACACAGAAAGGAGAGGGGCTAACCCTGAAAGCTGCTCCTCAGGTGCTTGGTCTCCAGCGTATGTTCTCTGCACTGGGCAGATGGCCATGTGCTTTCCCTGGAGAAGAAGGGGTGGGTGATAAATCCATTTTGCTCCAAGTAGAGACCATGGCTGTGGGCAGATGGCCATCCATCTTGGGTGCTGCTGGCTGAAAGCTGTCCCTGCTTTCATTCACAGGACCAGTCTTGGAGGACAGCAGTGGCCCTGCACACAGCAGGGCCACTCCAGTGCTGTGGCTGCTGTCCCCTGTGTCACAGTGAGAGCAGGGCAGGAGGCATGGCTGCTATCCCCAGTGCTGGCCCACAGTGGTGGCATGGTGGTCAGGGCATGGACATGGTCTCCTTACATAGTAGAGCTCGCTGTGGCAGGGCAGAAACCCTTCCCATGGAGTGGAAGGTGCAGACTGAAGCATCTCTGTCCACTAACTGCCCAGTGCCAGCACAGGGAGGACCGAGTCATTGCAAGGGGTGCCACAGCACAGCTCAGGGTGTCCCCAGCAGTAGTGTCTGACTCCCACAGAGGTTGTTGGAGTTCCTGTGAGACAGAAAAAGGTTTTCGGATCTCAGACTTGCTGCTCAGGAATAATGTTGGTATCGCCTTGTCACCTGTTCCCTGGAGCCCAAGCAGAGCAAGCTGCTGGTCCGGTCTGGGGTTACTGCTTGAACCAGTTGCTGTGACCCCAGGGACACCAGCATCTTCAAGAGGAGAGAAGCAAAGCAGACAGGTGGCTGGTCTCTGCTGGGCTGCATGTGGCTCCCCTTGTCCTGGGAGTGCTGCTGCTGCCTGGTCTGCTCTGATGGGACAAGAGACCTCTGTCCCATCACTGTGTCCAAAGTGTTTGTGTGTACACCGCCGTGGCATCTATCCTCAGGTCCTGGGGTCAGTGGTCCCTGAGTGTAGCAAACTGCCTGGCTGGTTGATTGACATTTTCTTGGGGGGGGTTGGAAAGTGATGGTTTCCTGCTGTACTGTGTGAATCTGCTGTGTACCGTGGGTGTGCCCAGGTAAGTGTGCATCCAGGCAGAGGTTGTCTGGGGCACCAGGTTCCTCGGAGGCTTCCTGGCTGCCTCTGCAGCGCGGGGTTTATGCTGCCTGTCTGTGTGCCTTGCAGGCTCTGAAAAGGAAGCCGGACCTTTTCCTGTGTAGCAACCTGGATGTCAAAGCAGTGTTTCAGTGTGGTGAGTACCAAGGGCATGGGTACAAGCTCCACATCGCTCTGTGGAGAAGCCAGCTCACTCCTCCTGTGGAGGTGGGCATGGCCCAGCCAGGGGCTGAGGAGCAGAGGGCTGATTTGGGGTGGTGTGGGGGTTTTCTGGCTGCTGACCTGAGCACTTTCTGCCCACAGGTGTCCTTTCACTTAAGTTCCCCGAGGCCCCAACGGTGAAAGCATCCTGTGGCTTTTTTGTGAGTATCATCAGGGCATCATACAGCCCCACCTGAGGGTGGGCAAGAGTGGGGTGACAGGTTGGACGAGGGGGTATGGAGCCCACTCCGGCACTGAGCGGGCTGGGCTGTGTGTTGCAGACAGAGCTGCTGCCCCGCTGCGGAGAGATCGCCCCGGTGGGACAGGTCGTGCATGAGAACGGCAAAGTCCTGCTGCAGGCAGTGCTGGAGGTGAGAGAGACACCAGGACCACAGGCTCCCCGGGCAGCTTTGGTCTCGGTTCCCCTGTGGAACAGAGCCTGGGGGACAGAGAGCCTGGCAGCGTGGGTGGGTACAGGCAGAGTGACGCCAGGGGCTCAGCAGGGTCTGTCTGCTCTGTGGCAGGGCGTTGGTGGCCAGGCTTCCCGCAGCCTCATGGATCACTTCGCAGAAATCCTCTTTGCCTTGAACAAGCACTGCTTCAGCTACCTGAGCATCTGGATCAAGGAGGCCATGCAGCAGGACGGCTTCCCCTCGGCCCGCGTCAGCCCCGAGCAGAAGGAGACCTTCAGCCAGCAGATCCTCAGGTTCGTGCATCCCTCCCTGTGGTGGCCGGTGCCCCGCATGCGGTGGGAATGAACCCCCCCCTCCCCTGCATGGCCCGGCCTGTCCCTCCTGCTTCATGTTTGTCCCTTCCCCCTGTCTTAGCAGAGAGCGTGTGAACAAGCGGCGAGTGAAGGAGATGGTGAAGGAGTTCACCCTGCTGTGCCGGGGGCTGCATGGCACGGAGTACACAGCAGACTACTGAGCACCTGGCCAGGACCGCGGACAATTTGCCTGGACCAGCTCTTCCCCGCAAG